GCTTTCTTGAAGTTTATAGTACATATCCAACTGTTTTAATGTTCCCGTTTCTCACTATTGCAGCTTCAGGATGGCATGGTCACTTATTTCTAAGATTTCTGTCACTTTTACTTCACAAACTACCTCCTCCTTGTTAATCAAAATTAGGTTCAGAATAAGCAGTACTCCTCATTGCCTTTACTTTCTGAGATTTTTTTTTTAAATCCCAAGAAAAAAAGAGAAGGTTTTGTTGTTAGGAGTTTGGGATTAATTTGTAGCCAGAAAGGAGAGTGAATGGTTCTGGTTAATGTAAGGATAGAACCCACAATTCTGCACCATTCTAATGAACTTCAGAGGGTAGGACAGGCTCAAAGTATCATTGCCCTAGCAATTTTACAGAGATTAACATGACCTTTAAAATATGGAAGCAACAGATCTATAATTACAACTATTGGGTATAAGTCATCAACCCATATGTTGAAGATTAGATTTGTATGAGTGGAGGATCAATCAATCAGTCAACAAGCATTTATTAATTATGCACTTATTATTGCCCAGGCACTGGGCTAAGCTCAGGAGATGAGAATGTAATAAGGGTTTGAAAACTAACCTGCTGAGATTTTTAGTCCAGAGAGACAAGCTCTCAGCCCGGAGAGCAATTTTGAACTAACACAGTCTTTGATCCAGAAGATGGATGAGTCATGCCTGGAAGTTTTAAACGAGATACATACATACATACAGTCTTTGGTTTGGCAGCGAGGTGGCACAGTGGATAGAATACTGAGCCTTGAGTCAGGAAGACTCATCTTCATGAGTTCAAATCTGACCTCAGACACTTAACTAACCCTGTGACCCTGGGCAAGTCACTTAACCCTGTTTGCCTCAGTTTCCTCACTTGTAAAATGAGCTGGAGAAGAAAATGGCAAAACCACTCCTGTATCTTTGCCAAGAAAACCCCAAATGGTGTCACTGAAAAATGACTGAACGACAACAACAGCAAATACAGTCTTTGAGAAAACAAACTGAGAGAAAGCAGCTGGGACTACATAAGCTGAGCATCAACAGCAATGGGGAGATAGGGCCCTGATCCACCCAGGTTAACAAGTCAAGCTAGATGGAAATAGTGGCACAAAGAAGAGCAAAAGAAAGGAAGAACAGAAAGGAGAACTGAGCTTCTGCAGTGAAGGGAGAGGTGAAGGTGGGCAGTCGGTCCTTTGTAGGCATCTTGAAAGGAGAACTCTGACTGAAACCATTAGTAGTAATCACCTTTTTGAGGATTCAGGGAAATTCCAAGAAGTCTGCTTCACCAGCTTTCCCTTCCTGTGCCTGTTCACTATTGTGCAGTAAAAATATACAAAATAGCCTCTGCTTGCATGTGTTTCCCATATTCTGATTTTGTTCCAAATTTAAAGAAGCCAGGGGGTTAATTAGAAATACACAAAATTTAAATTAGAGAACCAACATCCTGTTGTAATTTAGGGGTCTGAGTTATTGTGATTGCACTGATAGCTTTTCAGCTTAAATAAACTTCACAGCATAATAGAGAAAGGAATCTCATGGGTCTGAGGAACATTATACTGTCCCTAGGCTAAAAGTGAACTAATTATTTTAACAGTTCTCTGTCTTTCTAGAAATTTGCAACCATTAACTTACTTGTAGTTTAGTCCCTTGGCTAGGGACAACATAATGTTTGTCTGGACGGACTGTTGTAACCTCAACAGTAGTAGGGAAATTCAGTAAATAGGCAGGTTTTGAGGAGACAAGTAATGAGTTCTGGGACAATCTACCCCCTTTCCCAACCTCCCCTAGGAGATCTAAATAAAGATAGTCTTTTTTGAAAGATAATGTAAAGATATTTCTCTGCCTTACAGAATTGTAATTGATAGACCAATGGATTAGAGCTATAAATCCGAACCCTAAAACACGCTATCATGAGAATAGCACAATTTATCAGCTATATCTATAAAGTGTTTTAATGTTTATATTGCTCTTTCCTTACAACGACCAATGGAATGAGTAGCTTTTTTATGGTTTTATTTTAAAATCCATACTTAACTGCAGCACTGTCATGAGATTCCTGGTATTGAAAATTCTTGCACTGATGTGGATCAACAACTGTCCAATGCTTTAGTTCAAGATATCTACACGGGGCATAAAAGGTTAAATGTCTTTGCCAGAGTCACAAAGCCAGTATGTGTGAGACGGAGGTAAGACTCAAACTTAGGTCTTTCTGATTCCAGTGCTTGACCTCTAGCCACTGTGTCATGCTGCCTCTTGGAATGGGTAGCATGAGTACTTTCCTGTACTATTCTCTCTTCCTCTCCCTCCCTCCCCTTCTCTCTCTCTCTCAAACAGACTAGGCCACATGTGGCCTCAAGGCTGCAGGTTCACTACCCCTGGTTTGGTCACTTAGTTTCCCTCTCTTTTATTTAAGGTTGGGACGTTGCAATGATAAGTGACATTCCAGTAGCGTTGATAAAAATTCTTTGAGTTATACCATCAAGACATTTTAAAAACACACCAATAGACACTGCAGTCATCAAAAAGAATGTAAGGACTTTTCTATGGTGGTAATTAGGGATGGAGAAACCTTATTTCATGACCTTATTTTTGAAGGTTTCTTGGAAGAAAATGTCTGTGATCAGAATGATAAATCTTTAATATACCCAGGATTTGTGTCTGAAAAAACTAGGGAAATTTCTTAAAAAAAAAAAAAAAGAAACTCAAATGGTGGGAAATATTTCACATTCATCTTTTTTCATTTTTTTTGGCTATCACAAACCTCTGTTTTGTGAAATATAATAGTTTTTCTTTGTTAAATCTAATAGATATGATTAAATAATAACATTTATAACATTGTAAGAATGCCATGTGTAAAGCTACTAAAAGATTTTGGCAACTTTCCCTATGAGAATAAACATTGCAAAACAGTAGTGAACTAATTTTTTTCTCCCCCTCTCCCTCGCCAAGATGGCATGCAATCTGATATAGGCTATACATATACATTCTTATTAAACATATTTTCACATTAGTGATGTTATAAGGAAGAATTAGAACCAATAGGAGGAACCACAAGAAAGAGAAAATAAAATAAAACAGAAGAAGAAAAGAGCAAATAGTATGCTTTGATCTGCATTCAAACTCTATAGTTCTTTCTTTGGATGTGGAGAGCATTTTCCATCATGAGACCTTTGAAGATGTCTTAGATTCTAGCATTGTTGAGAAGGGCTAAGTCTATTAATGATGAACCTCTTTTACATGAAACTTTACTAATCTCACCAGATGCTAGTGCTCTTCATCCTCAAACTACCTTCTATTAATTCATCTATTTTTGTGACATCTCCCTGATAGAACATAAAGTTCCTTGAGGGTAGGGATTGTTCCATTTTTTTTCTTTGCTTCTGCAGCAAGAGATTGCAATGTCCTTTATATCCAGAATGTCACTTAAACTTAACACCAACCCCATAAAATAGGTACTATGGGAATTATAATTACCATTTCACAGAGAAGTACTCTGAGGTTCAGAAAAGTGAAGTGTCTTGTGCCCCAGGTTACCTACCCGGTAGGTGGTAGAGCTAAAACTCAAACACCTGTCTTCAGATTTCAAAGTCTAGTGCTATTTCTACATGCCATAATACCTCTTTTCCTGACTGGCTGATAGTCATGAGTGATAGATAATAGGAGATGTTGACATTTGTTTTCAATTAAATTCAACAAATATTTATTCAGTTCCAGTATATGCAGGGCACTGTTCAGGATTCTTTGTTGATACAAAGAGAAAAATTAAACATCTCTGTCCTAAAAGAGTCCATATTCTACCAAGAATGTTTACTGGAGTATATTTGAAATGGAGAACACATATATATATATACACACACACACACACACACATATATATGTGTGTATGTGTGTGTGTTTATGTATATATATATGTGTGTATGTATGTTTGTATATATATGTATACAGAGAAAGAGGTATATATAGTTACATTCTAATCATATATTATACATAATTATATAATGTAGGAATACATTATATACAATTATATATGTCATATATAATTATATATAATATATACAATGATTGTATTTCCTATATGCAAGATATTAAAGCTTAATGTTCCCTATAATAACTTATTTATAAATTTAATATAAAGTTAAGGGAAGGCTCTGAGATGAGTGAGCCATTCACTGATGCTTTTAATAAGTGTATTTGAATTGGTATGGTATTAAATTGTGATTAATCAGTTCAAGTCAATTCAATGAAGCATTTTGGTGAGGCAATGTGGTTTAAGGGAAAGAATGCTGGACCTAGAGTCAAGAAGTCCTGTATTCACAATCCACCTTTGATACCCACTAGCTCTGTGACCATGGGTAAGTTTTCTGAGCCTCAGGCAACTCTCTAGAACTTATTAAGTATTAGATAGATCACTTTTTGCATCGATAGAAGGAGTTTCTACACTGGCCAAATTAAAAAACCTTAGTGTTATATGTAAAATTAGCTTCTATTATTATTAGTAGTAGTAATGATAACTATCCCCATTTGTATAGTACTTCATAGCTTACAAAGTGATTTTTTTTTCTCATGACAGCTCTGTTGTTAGGTAACATAATTATTATTATCATGCTTACTTAATTGATGAAGAAATCAAAGTGCAATAAAGTAATGTCACATGGTTACTAAGAAGTGGAGCCAGAGTCTGAGTTCTTTTGGACCCAAGGCCAATACTCTTGAAATCATGCCTTTGAGTTGCAAAGATGCATTTTCAGGACAAATTAAGTAAAACGATGATTGCTTTTTAAAATCAACATCATATCAAATAGGCAATCTTACTGATTTTATTTCCTGCTTACTCATTTGGCTGTTGTTCATATACCATCTTAAATGTGTATTATATTCTTTAGAGTTCTTGGAAAACAAAATATACTAAATGCTGTTAGAATCTTAATTCTTTAATTTTTTCTTTAGTGGTTTCCTTTTCTTTTTCAGGTCCATTCCTCAATTTGTTTTGTTCTCTTCAGGTTTCCTTCTACATGCCTAAAATAGTGATGGCAGCATCCACTCATAAAAGTTCCAGTGCTAGCAATCAGTCTTGAGATCATTAGGTAAAGTTTTTCTTTAAAGCTATTGTAGATATTAGAGAGTATAGCTAAAAGTGTAATGGATTGTTGCTATAAAATTTTATGCCTGACAAATTTAATATTAAAGAGTGAGAACTAAAAAAGCAAATTGTAGTCTAATAAAACTCACATGCCCATAAAGTAACAACTTTTTTGTAGACCACAAATGAAACTTTAAGAAGTTTGAAAAGAATTTGCTACCAAAATATTTCATATTCATTTAGATCACTTCAACACCCTCCTCTAAATGCTGCTCCTGAATATTTTTGGTTTTAAAATGAGAAGTCAGTCTAATTGACACAAACCATCTGGTTCTCCTAGAGTAAAAAAAAAAGTCAGTACTTTTCTTGAATAAGAAATAAGGCATAGGAGTGGACAAATCTTGACTTTCACCATGACCTGTAGAGTTCTTGGCTTGGTCTGGGACTGGGAAATATTTTTAGTAAAATCCTGAAGTCTGTTGGTGTCAGGGAGCAAGTCACTTGGCAAATGAAATCAGAGAAGATCATAAAACCCAGAGAAATTTCTTTTTTACTAAGGTTTCAATGGGTTAGAATAAAATTTACTAAAGAAGATATTTGGAAATTTGGAAAGGTATTCAAAAAGTCCAAATCTTTTTTTGACTCAAGCAACTAAAATATCAATACTTCATTGATCGTTCTTAGGCAATAACTTCGATTTAATTAAATCATTAAAATGCTATTGTTCATACTTATTGGAAGTAGTCAAATAAGCACAAATATGGATCTTGTGCAGAAGTAGTGTAGACACTGACTCATTCCAGAAGATGTAGTACTAGTACAGACATTGAATTAAAGCCATTTATGGAAACTCCATTATGTCTCGGTGGACAGCAATATTGTTGTAAACCATTCAAAATGGAGATCCTACAATGGACCAAAGTCACAAGATTTTTGCCAAGTCCCCACATCACCAAGACTGAGAATATCTGGCTTCAGAGATATATTATGTAAGATGATATATTGGACTTCATATTGTAGGCAAAACCAGCACAAATTGCTTTTAGGAGGGAAAATAGTTCATAGCTGCTGCTTTGCTAGATATAGTCAGCCGGCAGCAGAACTAATGGATTTGAGAATCATCACAGATATTCTATTACTGTTTCTTCCTTGTTTTATCCTCAGTAGCCCCTGATCCATACCCAATCTGATCTGAGTGGGGAAGAGGTGATTTTTTTTTCTCATGTTGAATTAGGAGACAAAAGGATAACAATATGTAAGCCTATGTATGTGGTATAAGAGATGATTGGTGCAAAGGCAGAGAAGTGAAATAATTGAAATCTGTCACTCTGTCCTCTTCAGAAAATGTAAGAATAAAAACAGTTTTTTTCCTTCAATTTTTACTTATTACTCTACATGAGTATATTAATCGTTTTAACCTTGCCTCCCTAAAAATAGCTATTTTCCTTATATAATCCCTATTATAATATACTATATACCAAATGAAATTATGTTGGCTGCATTCTTAAGTATCATGCCTGCATTAAGAAAAATTAAGAAAGTATAAAAATCAAAACTATGACAAAATCTCAACCATAAAAAGCAATTGATGTAGAGCAAGAGGTCTCTGTGGTCTTAAGGTACCAGGCATTTAAGGGACAAAACAATAGAAGTTCTTTATCGTTATTTTGGTCAAAATAGGCTTTGCCAAATTGGTATTAATTTTTTAGGCAAACACGATGGTTTTTTGTAAAGAACCTTGGACCAATTATATGGGCTATGACTAGGTATTGTGTGCTTGATATATTTAAAAGTACTTTTTTTATTCTCTGTCTTGTCTCATCAGTTTTCCTGAAGTACAACTGAAAATGAAGCCCTCCCTTGACTGCTAATGGCACTCACCTCTACAATTATGGAAATGGTCTTCCTCTTGCTGAAAATGTGTCTAGTTCTTTGACAACGGCTTAAGAACAATGGGGTCAAGTACGCTTGGGAAAGCAGCGACATTGGATGAATTGTTGAGCACATGCATCGAAATGTTTGGTAGGAGCCTCTTGTCTCATTTCACACAGAAATGTCTTCTTAGCATTGGCATTAAATTAGAAGAGTGGGGCTTACTCAGTTCGCCAGAGAATACTAGGAAAAAAGTAGTATTATGGATACTAGGCAAGATCTTTCTCTACTGATAATATACAGTGAGGATAGGAGAAAGAGAAGGAAACGAGGAAAATACAAGAGTACTTTCCTGAAACTTTTATTTTTGTTTTACAGATGACAGGGGAGAACTGAGCAATAGTTACTTGCCAAGAATCGTTCTTTTGATGCACCGATGGTATCTATCATCCACTGAGCTGGCGGGAAAACTTCTCTCACTATATCTTTGCCAACTATTGTGTCTTTCTCACTAGGCCTTGGCAGTATAACAAATGTATTATAAGCGATGCATTTGGGCATTGACTATGTCTAACTAACACAAAGAAATCATGATCAAAACAGAAAACTTTAGTCAACCATCTAGTTGTTTTGTATATACACTTGGATATTCAATCTAAATAAGAACTGGGTAATGGACTGAATTTGTTTGTTTTTTTCATTTGGTTGTTTTAGATCTAGAGATTTACATGTAAAATGGTGATATAAGAAACAGTAGCTAAATTTATAATTCATCCTACCTTGTACTGAGATGTATTATTGTCTGCAACAATTTTCAGTTGATTCTAGAAAATAACCATTAAGGGCCATGATTAGGGGAAAAGAAGTAGGGTATATGTATGAGTGTATAAACACACATACACACACATATACACACACTCACACTCATATATAATGTACATACCATGTCATGTTCTTTATTTGTATATTCTTGATATTACATATAATTTATATTATAAATTTTGTGTGTGTGTGTGTGTGTGTGTGTGTGTGTGTGTGTGTGTGTGTATGTTGCCTAGGGCACTGAAAAGTTAAGTGACTTTCCCAGGATGTCAGAAGCAAGATTGGAGCCAAATGTTCTGATTCCAAGACCCACTTTTTAATTCTCTCTGCCTCTCATAAATGTAGTTGCTTTGTATATATTTTAATTTTCTTTCCATGCTTCCTCTCACAGCCTTTTATGATCTTCTTTTAGTCAAAGTGTATAGCTTTTCCATATACATGTTAATTTTCTTTCCAAAATTTTTCCAGGGAGGCGATATGGTAGAAGAGAAGAATGTTGAACTTAGAGTGAGGAGGACCTGGGTTCAAACTCTGTGGTTGTTACTCATAAACTTATTGTTTGATTGTGACCATAGGCAATCCATAACATCCCTGGACCTCAACTTCCTTCTCCATGAAATGGGTCTAGTGTTTTATAAACCTTGAAGTACTTATATAAATGTCATCTCCTAATATCTGGAATATAGTACTAGAACCCAAGGGATTGAAACCACTCTAAAATAGCAAATGAACAGGAATTTCCAGAACATTGAACCTAATTAGCCTTTTCTTAGTTACCTGATAACACAACTTATTTATGCTTGGGGTACTTAAAAGCAGAGTTGTTTCATTTAAAGGCAACTGTGCTCACAAAGAACATTTATCCTAAATATCTCATTTGAACCTTACAACAACCTTGTGAGATAGGTGCTATTATTATCCCCATTTTACAGTTGGAAAAACAGACTGAAAGAGGTAAAGTGATTTGCCCAGAGTCACACAACTAGTAAATGTCTAATGCTGGATTTAATCTCAGATTTTTCCTGACTTCAGGCCCAGTAACATACCTGCTTTACCACCTATCTGCCATCAAATGCAATAATCTTTGTAAAGCACTTAGTGCAGTTCCTGGCACATAGTAGGAACTTAATAAATGCTTATTTCCTTCCACTTTCCTTCCCTCTTTCCCCTCCTTATCCTATATGTACAATCATTTTCTATACCCTCCCCTCCTTTGTTATTAAAACAAGTTTGTATTTTTAGCTGAGCTTTCGTTTGAAAACATAGTCAATTCTCTATTTTCCATCTGGCTTGTCAATCTTATAGATTATCTGCAGCATATTTTTAATACCAGATGCCCTGAAATGAAGTTTACTCAGAGAAGGTAGAAATACTGTTATCAGTATGAACTAAATTATCACAGGTATACCTGCAACATTTTTTTTTCATTTTTTTTTTACTCTTTGTTTTGGTTTGATAGCAGTCTTTTCTCACACCCTAGATTAGCTAGATTGTTGGGACTGGAGTTGAGCCAGAGGAATAGAATGCTTGAGGCTCATTTCAGCTGGGCTCATAAACAAGAGATCTTGGGTGATCCCTAATGGAGTGGGAGATGCTACATAATTGGGCAAACATCTACACCCCCTGTGGAATAAGTAAAAAAAAAAAGTTGAATAAAAACATGCTTGAATCAGTGTGAGACTTTGAAAAGAGCTCACTCCAAATCTGGGCTCTACCTTTTACCAGCTGTGTACAATTAGATGAATCATTTAATTTCTCGGAGCCTTTTACTCTTAACCTATAAAATGGAGATAATGCTACTCTCTATACCAGCCTCATAGGGTTATTGTGAAGCACAAATGATATATGTGTGAAAAACCTGTAATCTTAAGGCACAATGGAAATACAAACCCTGATTATTTTTATTAACAAACATACATACCGCAATGCTTGTGGGGAAGGATGTGATGAATTCCGCCTGAAGGTCTGCTACTTCATGAGGTAAGTATTACTTTAAATTTCCCAGTGCTTTTGTCTCTAATTCTGGAAAGCCAGAGAATTCCTATTGGGAAATAAGTTTAGGTACAGATTAAGAAATACGAGGGCTGTAGTCTAAACGTCATCTCCAGGAGCAAATATAAAGGAAGCAGAAATGAGGAAGGAGCCTTCATAACCTGACCCCTTCCTCCCATTTTAGTCTTCTTACACCATCCTCCCTTCCAGATACTCTGGGATCTAGTGGCCTCCTTGCTATTCCTCACACACAATGCTCCATTTCCCAAATCAAGAATTCACTGACTGTCCCCCATACCTAGAATGCTCTTCTTCTTCTTCATCTCTGCCTATGGCTTCCTTGGCTTTCTTCCCATCTCAACTAAAGTCCCATCTTCTACAAAAAGCTTTTTCTAGGTTTCTTTAATTTTAGTGTCTTTGCTCTGAGATCAACCCTAATTTATACTTGTACATAATTGTTTGCATGCTGTTTCCCCCATTAGACTATGATACATGTTGTGACCAGCCGAGACTTTTTTTTTGCCTTTCTTTGTACCCCTAGTGTTTGACATAGTATCTAGGACATAGTAGGTATTGAATAAATGTTAGTTGACTAAATAGCTTAGTAAAATTTCTTTCTACTTGGAATTGTATCAGGATTTCCATCAACACCATAGCTATTTAGGTCTGTTACTCAAAAAAAAAGTGCTATTATTGCTGTTGTTTTTGTTCAGGAAAGACACTATTGAACTTGGAGTCAGAAGACTGGCTACCTGGCTGACCTGGGGCAAATCTCTTAACTTCCCTGTGCCTCATTTCTTTATCTGTACTACGGGGCTGGATTGTATGGTATTTAGGGTCCCTTTCACCTCTAAGTCTTTAGTCCTCTGATCTATCTTTAGTCACAATATATAGTATTTAAGGAAAAATAGTTTTCATCCCAATTCTTTGACTTATGAGTGGGAGGTCAAACTGTTGTAAAAACATGTTTAGAAAATAAAAACAAAGCTTGGGAAGGGAGAACTTATTCCTTTCACACCTTCCCTCCCAAAAATCATTGTGTATATCCCCACACTGGCCTCTCTGTTTTTAGTGTGGTGAAGAGTTTGCTTTGATCTGTGGCTTTGTTTGGGGAAGTTAGATGGCTCAGTGGATGGTGTGCCAGGCCTTCAGTCAGGAAGACTCATCTTCCTGAGTTCAAATCTGGCCTCAGACACTTACCAGCTGTGTGACCCTGAGCAAGTCACTTAACCCTGTCAGCCTCTGCTTCCTCATCTATAAAATGAGCTGGAGAAGGAAATGGCAAGCCACTCTAGTATCTCTGTCAAGAAAACCCCAAATGGGGTCACAAAGAGTTGGACAGACTGAAATGACTCAACAGCAGCAGCAGTGTCTGTCTAGTAGAAGACTGTTTTCTGTCTTTGATCCTTCCTGGATGTCTACCTTACGGTTTTGGCGTTGAAACCTCGGGTCCACTTCCTCATCATGGAAACCAGGGGTAAACAATCCTGTTTAGTTAGGCCTTTATCTTGTCCTGGAACCTTCCAAAAATATTTCATGACTTCTCTTGCATCAGCCCTGTTGTGAACAGCAGCATGGAGTACAGTGTAAAGCCAGCCCTGTTTCCCAAGTTCTTGGGAGTTGGGTCCTCAGTTCAACTTTATATTTATTTCATTTAAATATTGTATTTAATTTTATTTAAATATATTAAGTGTTTAAATATGTCATTTAAATAACAACCACAAAAGTAATTTGTCATTTTGGAGTGGGAAATAGGGGAAGAATTTAGTCATGGAGTTTGTCTGATATCATGCAAAACTGAAAGAATCTAAAGACTGAATTATTCATTTTTTAACTACTTGGATGGACATTGTGTAGAGACAGCCTTTGTCTGACTGATGTTCTATATTAAAAAGGTTTTACATGAAATATACAGTGCTACATGGAAAAGGTCACAGAATTGCTCTATGGTATAATTTCTTATGTTTGAGATGTTCTCTAAAGAACATTAAAATATTGGGGCCTACATATATGGCCCATATGTGTTGAGATCCAATTTTGTGGATTTTTTCCACTTATGATTTGTCTCTAAAATTTGTAGAAATAAGTATATAGATAAATAGATGATAGGCTTTATTAAGCACCTACTATGTGTCAGCCACTGTGCTAAGAAATGGCATACAAATATAAGCAAATGAGATAGTCCCTTCTCTCAAGGAACTTACATTCTAATGGAGAAACACAATATTAAAAGGAGTGCTGGACTTACTCTCTGGGGGTAAAGATACCTCAGGAAGTATCACAGAGGCCTGAGCAAGATAAGGCAAAAGGCTCCTCTGCCAGAGTCAGGGAGAAGATAAAGGTGTGGTCCACTTTTCTCAGGATGAAGATGATTGGAGAGTGAGGCCATAGCCAGAAAACTTCATCTCAGGATTAATTTTAAAACCAGAAATTTTTCTCTATCCATAAGAAAATTGTAATCCAACAAGGAAAGAAAGTCAAGAAAAATTGTATCAGTATTTATCTAAAGCTAGGGGGAAAATAGATTTTGATCTATGATTCAAAGGAGTGGAGGTCGGATATGGTGCATGAAACAGAGAGAGGTAGATCATTTAATGTGATGAGAGCTCTTGGGCAGAGAATCCAAAGAAGGACATAGTTTCCCCACCAGCCTAGCTTGAGGCCATTACTTGATGTTCCATACCTTTCAGATACTGGATTCTGGAGTTCCCAGCAGAATTTAATCTAGATCTTGGTTTGATTCGTATGACTGAAGAGTTTCAGGAAGTAGCCAGCCAGCTGGGATATGAAAAACACATCAACCTCATCGACATATCAAGCATGTAAGTAGGGCCCACATGCCCATCCACTAAACATGAGGAATTCCCTCTTCTTGGGATGACTAGTGACATTCTGGGCTAACCTCTAGATCACTTAAGGATTTATATTTAATGCTCTCCCCGTGGAGAGCAACCATGTTGGACAGGGCTGCAAGGTGTAGGCTCTGCCCTTTCCTTGTACTTATTTAATTATGTCATACAACAGAAACCCAAAAATAATGTCAGTCCTGCATTCCATATGTTATTAAGATGGCCCTTTAAGAACTGCATGGGGGCAGCTAGGTGGCACAGTGGATAGAGCACCAGCCCTGGACTTAGAAGGACGGGAGTTCAAATCTGGACTTAGACACATGACTTACTAGCTGTGTACCCTGGGCAAGTCACTTAACCCTGATTGCCTCACCAAAAAAAAAAAAAAGCAAGAACTGGATAGGTTAATTTTTATCATGCATTTAATGCTTAAGCATTATCTACATTCATATGTGTTGATTGATACTTTGACACAGAAAAACAAATAATACTTGAATTAATTTTCCCCCCTTAATATCTTCTTGATTATGTGGAAATATAACCATGCCCATGGCAAAAGTGTGATAGAGAAGAATGCTGGGATACATGTTTGGGGAAGGAGACTGGGCTTAGGGAAACATCAAAAATAAGGGAACAAAAACATGTCAGTGAAACAAACTCTGCCTTTTCCTTCAGAGCTAAGGGAGTGGGATTCTAAAATAAGCAAAGGAGGAAGAAGGATACCATTCTGTACCCTCACGTAATATTAGAAACGGCATAAAATAATCATTCCCATAGGGGACAAGAGACAGACTCAAATGGTAGTGAGTGTACTTCCCTAAGCATGCGAGAAGTGGTAAGATTGAGTACTATATCATTCCTTTCTGCTTTTAGCAGGTAGCAAAATGTAGTGAAAAGAGCTCAGGATTTGGAGACCTGGTTCAAATACTGGCTTCCCCAATTACTACTTAAATGACTTTGGACAAGTCTCTTGGCCTCTCTGGGCTCCAGTTCCTCCATCTGTAAAATGAGGGACTTAAGGTAAATGACCTCAAAGATCCCTTCCAATTCTATGTCTAGGATACTATGGTAATTAAGGGATACAGAGAGTTAAGGTCTATATATAGTTATTTTTCTGAGGACAAACTAATTCAATTTATTTAATAGCTACTGTGCATTTAACAATGCCCTCTAGGCTCCAGTCAAACCAGATTATTCTCTGTCCTCTGAGTATACTTTATGACCTTTGTTAGACGTTTTCCTTTGCCTAGTATGCCCTTCCCTCCCTTTTATCTGTTGTATTTTTACAAGTCCTTTAAAGTACAACTTAAATTTTATCTCCTCAGTGAAACCTTTCATCACATCCTCCCAGGTCTTATAAAGTACTAGATTTTCTGTTTTTGTTATGTACTTATTTATCATTTTGTATTGTAGTTACCATTGTATGTACAATGTTCCCAGATTGGACTATATGCTACATGATGGCTAGTTATTATATGTATATCATCTACATTTTGTATCAGTGCATCTCACAGTACCCTGTACCTAGTATACTTTAACAAATTTGTGCAATTGAATTGAATTGAATCTAAGGTCACATACTAAATAAGCCTCTAGTGCTAATCAACAAGTATTTATTAAGTGCCTGTTATGCACCAGGTGCTTTGCTAGGTGCTAGAAATACAAAAACAAAAATGAAATAATCCCTGCATGAATAAGTAATTATTATACAAGATTACATGAACAGTAATTATTATACTAACACAGGCAAAGTGAGACCAGAGAAATATTTAACACTTTTTTGAAGTATTGATCAGATCAGACCCATGAAATTTAATATGGTTAATATATTATGGGACTTGCTGGGGCTGCCCCTTGGCAAAATTCTGCAGCACGAGCCATTTTCTCTGCTTAGCCATTTCTTCCCCATCTTTACCCAGGCAAATCTCTTAGGAAGGTTACCTGGGGGCAAACAGGATTTTTCATGTCCCACATTAATGAAGGAACTCACTGCTTTACGTGCAGGGCTGGCATCGGCACTCTTTGTGCATAGTAGATGTTCAATTAATATTTAGAACCACTGTGCCTTAAAATATTAGAACTGGAAGGAATCTTTGATAGATTTCATCTAGTCCACTGTCCTAATTTTACACACAGGGAAGTCAAATCTCAGAGAGGTGAAGTGATTTAACTAAGATCACCATGCAGCATAGTAGAGGCATGATCAGAACCCAGGTCTTTTTATTCCTAGGCAAATCAGTGCTCTTTCCACTATACCACAACATGTCATATTGAATTTAGTTCTGAGCTGAATGACATCTGAATTTTTAGTTTGATGACATGTTATTCCATCCAGATAATAACTTTCATGGTCTCCTATCATGCTGGATGAGAAGAGAACACAGAAAAGGTATCTAAGAAGGGAAAAGCCTGTTTGCTGTTTGACCATCTGGAGCCCATTGAACTGGCTGAGCACCTTACTTTTCTGGATAGCTTCCTATTATGTGGCTTGGCAATTTCTGGAGTGACTTTCTTTAATGAACACTATTATACATGTGTTGTCAGAAGATAGAGTATAGTATAGATTAGCTCAGTGTTGCAAGGCTAATCCCTTTTAGGAAAAGCTGAAGTCGCAGAGAGAAAAATTTGTTCTATGACGCCCCATGTCTCTGGGGAGCCATCTGCCAAATGCATTCTACTTGTCATATTGGCTTATTAGCTATTGGATTGAGCTTCCAGTTATTTAGGCAAAATACCCAAATCAATCAACAAGCAGGTGTTAAGCACTTATAGGCTTTATATTAGGTGATGGAGATACAAGAAGCTTACAGTTCTCCTGGGGGAGATGACACGTCCATACACAAGTATGTACAGAACAATAACAACTATTGAGCAGCACTGTATACTTAGCATTGGCCTGGACCATGTTGACTAGACTTTCCTTTCTTGTAGTCCTTCCTATGACTGGATGAGAAGAGTCACACAGAGGAAAAAGGTATGTAAGAAGGGAAAAGCCTGTCTGCTGTTTGACCATCTGGAACCCATTGAACTGGCTGAGCACCTTACTTTTCTGGAGCACAAATCTTTCCGACGGATTTCAGTAAGAAACTTGACATTTTCTGTTCCAAGGATAACATGCCAGCTTCCCCAGGAACACCATTTCCATCCTTTCAAAGAGCTGGCAGCCTCTGTCACTGTGCCCCCCTGGAAATTTTCCCATAGTCTCACAAGAACAAGCCCTTTGAAACAAAGAGAAATATTATCCTGCCATTGTTTGTGGCTAAGGAGTTAAACTTTTGCCCACTTTTTCAATGTCTTCTTTGTGGGACTGAAGTTCATGTTTTTGTTTGCTTTTTGTTTTGTTTTTTTCAGATATGCTCTAAAGTTATGGACATTCAAAGTTAAACTACATTCATTTAAATGAGCATTTTTGCTCCTTTGAGGGGAAGGAATGATTCATTTGGGTTTGGGTTAAATGCCTAATTGTGGTTGATGGCTTAAACCAGAAATTGTAGTCTTCAGGGTGTAGCCCAAAGCTGGGCGCTTTTTTCCTGGGATCAAGACCCTGAACCAAAGCATCACTTTCCTACTCATCTTGATAGTACCTTCTTCCTCTTTTCTGCATTCTTTTCCTTCCTCAAGCCCTGGGTCCTGTTCTTTCAAGTCCCTACTCACTCATTTGCTATTGTTATACTTTCATAATCCTCTGTAATTAGTCATTTTGTTATGCATCCTCTGGTGGCTTTTGTTTGTCCTCCCATGTTCTGGGACCATGTCAGATCCCTTCTTTCCTCTGTACTATAGCCTGAGAGGCACTGACATCAGGGCTCTCTGGAACAGTAATTTCACTGCTGAAACAGTTTGTGTACAGTAGAACATTTGGTGACAAGCATGCATTTCTGAAGGATAGTTTCCTTCACTAGGAAATGTGCTCCCATTTGCAGTGGATGTTAGGGATTTCCTGTCGGCAATCATACAGTGGGAGTCAAGTGATCCCTGCACAGACTTATCTGAAGGTGCACACGTATTTGATGGCATTGCTCTTGCACATCTGAAAGTATTCCTGACTTGTAGTCTTTACTTAAAAGTAGCCCTAGTTCTTCCTGCTTTCATTCCTTAGCCTTTCCTGAGATTTTTTTTTTTAATTTTTGGCCAGCTGCCCCGAGCCCTGAAAGGATATTGATTTCCTTTTCCTCGTATAGGCCTTTGTCTGTTAGATGTGAGAATCTTAATGTTCTTTATGTTACCCTTTATGTAAATACATGATGGAGAATTGGTGCATATTAAGGAAAAAATGTCAAAGTTGTAAGCAGTTATGGAATGTAAAAAAGATAATATAGATGATGGATAGATGGATGGATGATAGATAAATGATAGTTTGATTAATACATAGATAGGTAAGTAGATAGAACAAGGAAGTCACTTCTGTTGTCTTAGAAGCATTTTGATATTCTGCTCCAATGAGATCCAGCATTTCTAACTCCTTCCTTTACTAGTTCACAGATTATCAAAGCTATGTAATTCATGGCTGCCTGGAGAATAATCCAACCCTGGAAAGATCCATTGCTTTATTTAATGGGATCTCTAAATGGGTCCAATTGATGGTTCTTAGCAAACCAACTCCACAGCAAAGAGCCGAAGTCATCACAAAATTTATAAATGTTGCACAGGTAAGGACATTTTTCTCTTTTTGTAAGTGTCTAGTAATTAGGCTTAAGGTAAGAAGATGTTCTAAATCAGGGATACTTAAGCTGGGGTACGTAAACTTTAAAAAAAATTATAATTGTATTTAAATTTTATGTATTTTATTTTAATCATTTAAAAAATTAGTCTGAGAAGGGTTGATAGGCTTCACCAGATTACCAAAGGGGTCCAAGCACAAAAAGTTAAGAACTCCTGTTCTAAACATTGTGTTTTCAGAGCATTCTCTACTGAGAAAGATAGTGGACAAATTTTGCATTTTCGTTATAGACATGCTGAATAATGGGTTTACCTAATGGATTTCTCATGTTTACATTAGGAGTTCCTCATTTATTTAATCACTCGTTCACATACTAAGGATTTATTAAGCCCTTTCCTATGACATTTCTCTTACAGAAACTTCTTCAGCTACAGAATTTTAACACATTGATGGCAGTGGTGGGAGGACTAAGCCATAGTTCTATATCCCGCCTCAAAGAGACTCATTCTCATCTTTCTTCAGAAGTTACAAAGGTATTTGTGGGATTTACTCAAATTTAAAACAAAAGGCTTGTTTGCCAGAACTTATCTTTTATGTGTACTAGATATACATTTGTTTGTAGGGGCCTTAAGTAGGGGGTAAATGGGGAGTGTGCAAACATTGAGCAAAATTAGCACTATTCTGTGAAAATAATGTTAATAAAAAGAAAATTAAGTATTTTAAGAATGAACTGACCTTCCCACTGAATATCTTTTATTCATAGTGCAATGGGGGATGAACTTTCTTACATTGCATCTGACCAGTAGTATAAGAAGGAAATAAAGTCCTCATAGTAATTTTAATGCAGATTCCCAGTACAATATGTCTCATTTCTTTTAAGGGTTGTCAAGGTTTCTTCCTTGTTCTGTTTCTCCAAGGTCAAAATTTATCATCCATTTTTTTTTCTTTCCTGGAAAGTCCTTTCTCATTTTCTGCTGGGATGAACATCATCTGATCTGGAGGAAATTCTCATTGTATTCTACTACTGTATGTTAGTACATTTAACTGACTTGGTACGTTTATCTGAGCCAGATTCTAGCTTTAACTAATTGAGCCAGATTCTGGCTTTTGCATAAAAACTTCCACTTTCCACTACTTAACTAAAATGCATTCTTGTTTAAAAATTTTTTTTATTTAATTAAATATTTCCTGAATACATATGAAAGAATTTCTAACAGACCAAATTCTCTCCCTCCTGTCTCTCTCCCCTCCTTCAGAAGACAAGCAATTTGATTTCAGTTATACACATGAGGTCATGCCAAACATTTCCATATTATCCATATTGCAAAAGAAAACACAAACAAAATAAAACAACAAAAACAAAATTTTAAAAAAGTATGTTTTGATCTGTGCTCAGAGCTTATCAGTTCTCTCTCTGGAGATGGGTAGCATTTTTCTTCATGTGTCCTTTGGAGTTGTTTTGGATTTTTGTATTGATCAGGGTGGCTAAATCTTCACAGTTAATCATTCTTACAATCCTGGTTCTGCTCACTTCACTTTATATGAGTTTGTATAAGTCTCTCTAGGTTTTTCTAATATCATCCTGCTCATCATTTTTTATAGCACAATACTAATCCATCACAATCATATACCACAACCTGTTCAGATATTCTCAAATTGATGAGCATCCCATTGATATCCAATTCCTTGCCACCACAAAAAGAATTGCCATAAATTTAAATAAAAACATAACATTATATATATCTATATGTGTGTGTGTATTATGTGTGTGTATATATATATGTGTATATATGTATATGTACACACACACACACACACACATATAAAGAAATAGCTAATTTCCCCTTTTCTTTGATTTCTTTGGGATACAGACCTAATAGTAGTATTGCTGGGTCAAGGGAGTATGCACACTATTATAGCCCTTTGGCCATGGTTCTAAATTGTTCTCCAGAATGGTTGAACTAGTTGACAATTCTACCAACAGTGTATTAGTGTCCAAATTCTAAAATGCATTCTTAAATACCTACAAAAAAGGCTGAGTTAAGGATTATGGGAGGCCCATAATCTCCATCCTCAATAAACTTGCAACTAGATTGAGGAGAATAGAAATTATATACATGAGAAACTAAAGGATAATCCCCAAACCTGGCCTTTATGTTATATTTATCCTCAGATTCATAAGGACAAATTTTTCCTTCATTGAGAAAAAAGATACTGGAAGTAAAGATCGCTTCATTCTTTGTATTTTTACTCTCAGAACTTAGCATCGTATTTGGCAGATAGTAGGCATAAATGCTTGATGACTGACTGATTGAGAAGATTTTCCAGAAGTATCATTTGATTTATTTAAGTTGTGCTTCTACAGATAAATCAGAGTGCCAAGAGTCACAGAAGCCCAGTCTTCTGCTCTCATATTTCACACCCAACCCCAGTATCCTGGAGGTCGTTGTCCCATTGGTTTTATGACCCATTTTCTCAGTCATTTGTTTTCCAGGTCAACTGAGCAGCCACTCTGACTGAAACTTGACTGCTTCTGTGGAGGGCTTTAGAACTCCTTAGCAAAACATGCCATCGCATCTCCAGAGACACAGCTAGGGAGGATACAGGAGGAGGCACTACTTGGAGACGTTAATTCTGTATCTGTTTGCAGGACTGGAATGAAATGACTGAACTTGTCTCCTCCAGTGGCAATTACTGCCGTTACCGCAAAGCTTTTGCTGACTGTGAAGGCTTCAAAATCCCCATCCTGGGTGTTCACTTGAAAGACTTGATGCCGTTCATGTCATTTTCCCAGATTGGACTGAAGATCATAAAGTCAATATTGTGAAGATGCACCAGCTCTCAGTGACCTTGAGTGAGCTGGTCTCCCTCCAGAGCGCCTCACACCACTTAGAACCTAACATGGATTTAATCAACCTCCTAACAGTGAGTATCAAAAACATTTATGTCTGTGTTAGTCCTCCTTCCTTCCTCTCAGTCTAGTAAGCCCATGAGGCTTTGTGACAAGAATTGGTTTTGCTGTTAGATTTAATTCAGATAAATAAATGTTGAATAGATCATGAAGAAGTGCAATGGTTACTATACTTTTTTTTTAAATCATTCATCTCTGTAAACAAATTCTGAGCCAGCACTCCAATACACACACACACACACACGCACATGTAATATGCAAATATTTTTCATTTATTTAAAAATTATTACAAAGGTATGATTATACTAATCATTAGATATTTTACAACACACAAAACAGAAATTAAAAAGGATAGGATAAAGATGAAATATATTTAAAATAATACTAGGTATATTTATGGGGCTCTCGTGTGGGTAAAATGAGGGGGTTGGGTTACCAATGGCACACTCACAGTCATGATTTACTCTGAGGGACCTTAGCACAGAAGAGGAAAGGTCTGGAGCTTTCACAGATTTTGGGGGGAGGGTATTGGTGGAGTGAAGTGGGGGAATGTTGTGCCACAATGGGTAAATAGCATAGTGTAGTTGTATTGGAATAATCATAGAAACTGGCAATTGTAGAAAGGGTGGGATGTGACCTGGCTTCCCACCCTCTGATTGGGCTCCTGTCATGTTCCAATGGAAGTCTGTAGGCCCCATTTTGGAGGCCTTTAGCAAACTGTACAACAAGCTGGCCTCAGAGTTGGGAAAACTGAGCTCCCATTCCTCCTTCAATACATATTGCCTGTGTGACCCTGGAAAATTCCCTTGATCTTTAGCAGAATAGATGCTGATATTCATTTGTGGAAGGAGTTTCCTCACTGGACTTCTTTACACTAATGAAATCAGAGGTCCTATTAAAAAATGTTGGGGGAATGGGAGAAGGGTTGCACCCTCCTGCCTATCTGTTCTAGAAGCTGAATTAACTTCCTTTGTGCATAACTTCTGGATGAACCTCATCTGTCACAGCTGAAGGAAGAAGCCACAAGCTGAAGTCCAGTATTAATTTAATTTGACCCACAGTGATGTGGTTCCAAGGGATTTATTAGCCCAGATGCCTTGTCCCAATCATTCTCACCTTTCAGTTCCAGTATACTTAGAGGAGCAGGAAAGGGAGGAGTGGAATATGGTACAATGTGAAAAAAACTGGATTTGGTGTTAAAAGATCTAGGTGTGAAGACCGACTATGCCAGGTACTGCCTTTGTGGCCTTTCCAAGCTTTAGTTTCCTCATCTGTAAAATGAGAGGGTTGGGCTAGATGACCTCTGAGGTTCCTTCTAGCACTAGGTCTGTGATTTTGTGATCCATTGATTACCATGGCTCTCTGGGAGTTGGATCGAGACACAATGCCTACGTAGAATGTACTTTACTTCAGACTCAAGGAAAATAAGACATTGTATTGGTTAAAATCTTGTGAGGCCTCTGGGTGGTACCTGCCAGACTTAAGCTCCTGCTCCATTCTTCTAGAAAGTGGGATGAGGCCACTTCTTGCACCACCTCCTGAATGGCCTCAGCTCCTTACCAAGATTGGGATCAGAGGCCTCCTTCCCTTACCATAGGGAAGGAGAATCTCACTATCAGTGGAAAGAGTACTTCCCTCTGCCCTTAGCCAACCATTTTTGCCCTCAGTGATAGTGTACAAAAATAACATCTACTCCACCAATGGTTACCAGATAACCCAAGATGATAGAGACCATGCTTCTGAGTAGAAAAGGAGAATACTTCTTTGGCTATCATCACTGTCATGATCATTGCCACTTTTGCCCCTCATCCTGGTGATGGTGGTCTTCAGAGAGACTGTGGTGGTTAAACAATGGAAGATGTCCCTGTCACCTATCAATTGGGGCTAATGGCCATCCTAATCACATGGCTTGTCATTATTATACACTCTCCTGGTTCCAAAAGGGCCACCTTCTAAGATTTGTGATATAAGCCTGGAAGTCTAACCAGCTATCTTTGATTATTGAACTTCTTTAGAGAGGGTGTTGAGACATATGGATATGTTCAAGAGGAAGCTGGGTTTCAGTGCACAACAAAAGATGGAATGAATGTGAGAAGATGTCCAGCATGAATTTGTTGTTGTCGTTGCTGTTGTTCTGTCATTTTTCAATCATGCCCAACTCTTTGTGACCTCATTTGGGGTTTTCTTGGCGAAGATAACAGAGCGGTTTGCCATTTCCTTCTCCAGCTCGTTTTATAGATGAGGAACCCGAGACAAACAGGGTTAAGTGATTTGCCCAGGGTCACACAGCTAGTAAGTGTCTGAGGCCAGATTTGAACTCAAGAAGATGAATCTTCCTGATTCCAGGGCTGCCACTCTATTCACTATGCCACCTTGCACCCTAGCATGATGTGGAGTTTGTTAACAATGCAGCTAACATTTATATAGCATTTCAAATTTTGTAGAGCCACTTTACAGATGTTTCATTTTATCCTCATAACAATCCTGGGAGTCAGGTACTATTATTTCTTTCATTTTACAGATGAGGTAACTGAGACAGAGGTTAAGGAACTTGCCTAGGGCCACATACTCAGAGTCTGAAGATGAACTTAAACTCAGGTCTTCCTGACTCCAGTGTTTTATCCATCATACTATGTAGCTGAGAATAGAAGGCAGAGAAAGACAGGACTAGGAATGTCTAGGGCTAACTTTATGTGTGTGTGTGTGTGTGTGTGTGTGTGTGTGTGTGTGTGTGTGTTGGTGTGGCCATTGCACTGTTCCTTCATTGCTGACATCTGTCTCTCTCTGCCACTGACCTGAATTCTCAGCCAATCCTAGGTCATATGAGCCAACTATATGAATTGGTTCATTGGGCGCAATCCACATTTATGGCAGAGGGGATACTGAAGAAAGTCATGGCAACTAAAAGTCCCAGTGGGAAATTAAAAGCTTTGTCTTCTTCTTTGCCAGAATGATGTAAATCGGGGCAGCTAGGTGGCACAGTGGATAGAGCACCGGCCCTGGTCAGGAGGACCTGAGTTCAAATCTGGCCTCAGACCAAACACTTGACACTTACTAGCTGTGTGACCCTGGGCAAGTCACTTAACCCCAATTGCCAGCAAACAAACAAACGAACAGGATGATGTAAATCTCCTTGGGCTGCTGGGTTCAAATTTTAAAATGTATGGCTCCTAGACATTTATTCGAAGTGTTTCCAGACCATATATTTGTCTATCAGAGAGCTACTAAGAATAGTTTCACATGTCATCTGGGATTCTGGGAGGGACAAGAAGTTCAAGGTCCAGGTGAGATAGAGGGCTGGTCAGATCACTAGTACTTTGCCAGGAATATCAGGGTTCAGGGTGAAAGAAGCACCCTCATCCCATACTACCCTAGCCATAAGATATCAGTGCCAGGGACAAAAGAAAGCCCTGTCCTGCCCATATTAGTTCTGTCTTTGCCTGGCTTGCTCTCATAACAAGGTCACTGAGCACAGGGACTGACTGTAATTCATCTTTGCACATCTTTGTGCAAATTGTGTGCATCCAAGCATACAATGGGGCCTATAACTTCATAGAAATTTATCTTTGTTTAATTAAATTGATTGGATGTATTATTGGAGATACAAAGTCACCTTTATCCTTCTGCACACTCAGGCAGGTTCTGGATGTTATAGGAGTCCCAAATTTTTCTTAGGGATGCAGTGGGGGATGGGTCTCCAGAAAAGTGCTGGGTTTTTCCATCTCTCTCAAGGATATACAGGCTAGGAAGAACATTTCTTGCCTGGAATTAATTGCTAAGCAAAAATGTCAGAATTGGAAGTTCTCAGAGAGGTAGCATGGCATGGCAGACAGAGTGATGAACTTGGAAGCAGGAAGATCTGTGTTCAAATTCTTCTTCTGACATTTACTCACTGTGTGAAGATGAACAAGTCACATAATTTCTCTGAACTTGGTTTCCTCATCTACAAAATGAAGGTAATACTTGTAGTAGCTACTTTACAGGCAGTCGACAGGCACCTATTAATTAAGTACTGTGTGCAAATCAAATATTATTTTAATTAAAATTCTATATAAATAACTGGACAACTTTAAAGTGCTATATAAATGTCAATAATTGTGATTGTTGTTGTTATTCTTATCATTGCGATCCTTTCTATTCGTGCCTTCCCCAAAAGTGATAGGAAAATCACACTATCAGGCTTAAGTTGAACCACAATTCAATGCAACAAAAACTAGATGCTTATTCAACTTTCTCACTTTTTTTTTCTCATTTGAGGGAGAGGGGGAGGCTTGGCCCTGTGGTTTGCTCCCTCTACCAATGTAGATCAGCAAGTTGTTTGTAATTTATAGTCTTAGAGTTGCCTGGGGCAAAGTGACAAATGAATTTAAACCTAGGTCTTCCTGACTCCAAGAACACTGTGTACTGTCCCCAGCAGCCTGTCTGATCATCCATACTTGATGCTTATTTGTGCTGCCTACAGTTTGTTGCTTCTGTCCCCTTAGAGTGCTATGTTGCAGATTCTGAAGGTCACTTCTACTTGGGGAGGGGATAGGGGGAAAAGTAGCCAAATTTCCCTACCCTTGCATAAACTGGGCAAGGGAAGGAATCCCCAATTGGATTTATATAATCTTAGCTCTGAGAGGTGGCATTACATTTTCCACATATTTTTGTGGCAGTTTGTTATCAAGTCAAAAAAGATTCTAGCTCCAGCGCTGCTTGCTTGTGAACTATTTGATCAGCCTCAGATGCCATTAGTAAGACTAGGAGGCTGAACTAGGTGATCGCAAAAGTTCTGCCCAGCAATTGTTGCTGGTATCCTTAGTCCTATTAATAAAGGTAGTGGTAGTGATAATGATGATGGACAGTTTAGTGTAGTGGTTAGAGGACTGAGTCTCATCGTCAGGAAAACCTATTCAAGACCCATGCAAACTATTTGACCATGGGTAGATTATTCACTCTCTCCACACACCAGGTAACTCTAAAGACTACAAGTAGCAGAAAATCAGAAAAAAAGAGATTTGCTTTGGTAGAG